CTGCATCCTGATCTCAGCTGAAGTCAGTCTCTAGGAGAGAAAATCTAGAAAATGATACATAAATTACTGATCAATACCTTCACATCAGCTGATCAACACAATGTTGTCTATGGGATCGTGACATAGCCGTGACATGGATCATGACAAGCCAAAGGTAAATCTAATAAATCATAAGAATGATGGCATTAGAAAAATGCCTTTTGAGTAAGTACATCAGCAATACAAGTTTTAACAAAGACCATAAGTGCTGCAAACTTGGCTGAGTTCTCTTTTTTGACAGCTCCTCTAACTGCTGTATTATAATCCAGCATTTGGATTATAATTTGACCCTGGGGGTCAATTGTCTATGTTTTATGGACCTCAGTCAAATCGCTTAGTTTTTAAATCCCTTGACTTTTCTGGCATGTTTCTTTTGAACAGACTGCTCATTGCAATCCCTTAATGGAAATCCAGACACTGCCTTAAGCCCCCACAGCTAGTGATGAACTATGACTGTTCCTCACTGAGGTCTTCCTATTATTTCCAGAACACAACCACTGGGTCACTTTGTGTTCACAGTTCAAGTCACTGAAGACACATGATAAATGTATAAATGTATACATTGCTGCTATTCAGGATTTGTAGAGGACTCCAAGATAGTATAACTCCACTTGGCAGGACAAGAGATGCACAAATGTAGAATGAAGTGCATTTTTACATCCCTTTCTTTTTCATTTTCTCTGTTACATTGACTGAGTGGTCTCTGTTTTGAGGCCTGTTTGACTTTTCCAAAGCTCCTTTTAAACTCCTGTTAGATAACTTTTGCCCTCCTGCCCTTTTTGCATATACACACACTCACACTTCTGCACGCAGGCAGGGTAGTATGGCTGCCTTCTCTCAGCTCCTGCCAATTTCATTACCAAAGTCAATATCAAAGGTACAGTCCTCAGTGTTAATAGATGCTATACTGGATCTGGTAGCTGTTGATTGAGATGTAATTGCATAAAATGATAGATTTCTCACCTTGCTAACCCAGCAAATCCTGCATGAATGTTCTTATTGGCACAGAAGGGACAAGAGTATATGGTCAGGGACATCTGGCAGGTAGAAACTCACTTTTAAATTGCAGCTAACAATTTTGTCAAGCAAAAGTGAATCTGGAGCCAGGAGTGCACAAAGAACTCTTGAGGGTACAAGCAGTGGTGTGGCATGGAGCAAAAATGGGACAGCTTCTCCACAAAAGCCATTGTCCTGTGAAAGAGCACTTTAGGAATGTTGCTCCTAAAAGTTACAAAAAATATTGATGATCATGGCAATTTTCATAGCAGTATTACAATATCAACATCATTTTACAGGCATGGGGCTCATAAATAGCTCATAACAATTCTGTTTGGGTGAATTTAATGGAACTTTATTGCTACTTCAGGAAAGGTAAAAGTCTTTAAAATGCCAGAAGTCACACTCTCTGACATCTGTCAGTAGGGTAGCAAAACAACTTCTCAGCAACTCCAGTGTGGAGCTACCTGCTATCTTTAGATTTGATTCTTTCTGTAAAGGTGACTCAGAAGTGTCATCTGGGCTTGCCTCAACCGTTTATCTTTGTGTGTGAGCTCATGCAGCTCTTCCAAAGCCTTGGCAAGATGCCATCAGCCTCAGAGATGCTAGAGAGCTGGTGTGGATAAAAATAACTTATTACTTAATGGTTGACACTGGTTGCAGTCACTGCAGATGAGTTGCAAACAATTTTTTGCAAAGATCTGCTCATCCGTGGAAGAAATAGATTTAAACCTGCAGTTTCTTGCTAAAATTATCTGGCATCCCTTTCTGGTGGTCATTTCTGTCTTCATGGCATTATTACAGGACTGGCATCCCCATGACTGGTGCACTGGAAGCAAATAATTATGTCCCTATGGGAAGGCAAAGGTTGTAGGAAGCAACCTTGTTTCTAAACTTTGGTATCTGTGGTGCATATTTGTCCATTTGCAATCTGAAATAGTGAGGGTGGAAGGAGTCTGGGCAGTTCTGCCAAGAAGGGGCAGATTGGTAGTGACTTAGCCTGTCCCCAGCCCACCAGCAGGAGGGAGCACAGTGATGGACTGGGTAATACTGGTGTCGCTCTATGATTACACTGGAAGGAAAAAGCACGGTGCTTTTGCTGCTCAGATGAGAGTTTTGACAATGCAGGAGTTCTCTGTTGGCATCTACTGCAGCCGAGTAGGTTGGTTCAGCTGGTGTACAAAATGGTGTCAACAGCTTTGTGAAGCACTCACATTCCCTGGCAGGAGCTCAAGGAGCATTTCCAGCAACCTCCAATTACAGTATTAATTACAAGAGATTATCAAGTTCCCCAGAATAGGCCCCAAGCTTCCTTTGGCATGCAAACTAGCAAGGACTTTCTTGCCCCCATAGGGGGCAAGATATTCTCTTCAGAATATCATAACTCTGAATATACAACACCCATCACTGTCAACTTTCCTTAAACAATGCCATCTTAAAATACTGTTATGCATGCAGAACACATGCTTTTCAAAAAGCAGATGTCATGTTGAGTGAACTGCCAATCTGGAGGTTTTGAAAGGATATTTTTATGTTAATTTTGATGATTCTTTCTACTTATGTCCCATACATGTCCTTTTATATGATAAAGTCTAGAGTCCTAATACTTTAGCCACAGTAATATCTCAAAGAGAAGCATCATGTGCTTTAACTAGATTGCAGATTACAGTTCCAACTGGCAAAATTAGCAGATTGTCTTCAAGCAATATATGTGCCTCACTGCAAAAAGCTTATGTCAAGAAGTGCCCCTGCTGGCATGGAGTTAGACTGTCCTTTTACTGGTGAAAAAGCAGATTATTTTGCTGCAGTGTGATTGCTGATCCACTGTTGATATAGGGAGCTCTTAATATTAAGTGACCTGATTCTCTTCTTGTTGTCTTCAACTTGGATATCCAAAGACTTGGAGACAAATTAAGTATTTCTGGTAGAATATATCTCACCAATCTTCTAACGCCTAAAAGTCAGGGGTAAAGTCAGTAGCTTAACATCCTATCAGAGAACTAAAAGAAAGGCACTTTCAGAAGACAATCCATCCTAAGATTCCTACCTAGTCCTCTCCAATGACTGTATAGAAAACTATAGAAAAATATGATGGACTGTTGACTAGACACTTAATTAATTATTTTTACCCCTATTGGTCTGACCGTGACTTTTGACTTCTCTGCAAATAATTCTAAGAGTATGCCCCAGTTCAGTGCTGCTGAACTGAAATACTGTATTTGAATCCTGGTGTAACCTCAGGTTCTCCTTATACTCATGGGGGAGGGGGTAAAAAAAACCAGGAGGTTTTACAGTTAAAAAATTAAATGGCTTAGTTTCAAAGCAAAATGATCTAGTTGGTGCCTGTAGGCGTGTGACACACCATCCAGATGTATGTCATTTTAGATGACATATCATGGACTTGCCAGTTGCAAAGGTAGAACTGCCCAAGGGCTAGTCTAATTTTTTCACCTGAATCAGAAAAACTTTTACATTTTCATTCATAAATCGATGGTGCAGTCTAGTTCATACCTGCTTCTTCTGTTCAGCCTTCTCCTGTGTCTCTTTGCTTCATTAATTTTTTCACCTCCTCTCCATCTTCCCATGCAAATCCATCTCTCAGAAGTATGTGTTTCACTCTATCACAAATATGCCTACTTGGAATTCATTACTCACCTTCTCAGATACCAATATTTATCTAAATTTCTTTTAGTGCTATGGGATTTGGACACAATTTCTATTATCGGTAGTGGAGATATGGCAGCATACTACCACAGGGACATCAGCTTGTGTCTGATTCATTGAAATGAATAGTTGTTTTACAAGAGGCTTGAGAGTGAGCAGGAATACATGTGTTGAGCTCCATTCTCCAAAGTGTCAGGCACTGGCTTGAGAATGTGCTAAAGTGCTTGGTGATTCACAGGCAGAGTTTCTGTGTTTTACAAGGCTGAGCCAAAGTTCCTTCATATGTTTCAGTCACTGAAGTTAACAGAAGCCCTCGTGGATGGGTATTGCAGCATAAATTAACTTCAGTTGAAGAAACAATATTGTTGCAAAGAAAGAAGAAAGTCAATTCTCATTGCATCAATAAGAGAGGAAGGATTCATTGCCTTCCAGAATTTGAAGGAAGAGAACAAGAATTAATTTCCTTTTGGTCACTGCCTCAGTGCCATTCTGCCTCATTTTTCTCCAAATGGCTAAGGACTTAAGCACTGGGCAGCTCTTTAATATGCAGAGCTAGTGCAGAGTCCCCTCTACTCAAAGTGGCTTAGCAAATATCTAGCTTCTCCAAGGCTAGGTTATGGTGCATATTTGAGCAAAGAAATTTTCTTAGAAAAAAAAAGAGAGTCGTCAGTTTAATGAGTAATTTCCCTTGAAAATGGTAAACTGCAAATTAAATGGCAAAAAGCAATTAATTATTGAAATGATAGTATCCTTGCAAAGGTTAAGAGGTAATATAAATGAAGTTCCTGTGAACACATTAATGGAATTACTATCTTCCCCCTTATAAGTGGCAACTGTAACGACCTTGCTAATTAGCTTTTTCATTGGGAAAAGGAATAGTGAAATATGTAGTTTTATTGCAAAAGCACAATCTATGACTATGTTATTTTGTTAACATAATATGCAGAGAACTCTCTCTTCCCAGAGAGGGTTAAGAGCTCTTCCCAGAGAATGAATGGGAGATGAGTGAAGCCCACATAATCCAGGAGGAGATGGTTAGTGATCTGCTATGCCAGTTAGACATGCACAAGTCTATGGGCCCTGATGGGATCCACCCCGGAGTATTGAGGAAACTGGTGAAAGAATTTGCCCAACCACTCTCAGTCATCTACCAGGAGTCCTGGTTAACTGGAGAAGTTCCAGCTGACTGGAAAATTTGCAAGTGTAATGCCCATCTACGAGAAGGATCTGAAGGATGATCCAGGGAACTACAGGCCTATTAGGCTAACCTTAGCTCCCAGTGTAGCAATCCGAAATTCGAATATCATCAGAAAAGGAATTTATTGGATTGTGTGGCAGACCGTGAACAGCAGGGGCTGGGAGAGACTCCTTGCTCTGACAAGCTTCATCACAAGACTTATTGATATGTGGTTATGTTGATTGGCCTGTCTCCTGCAGCAAGATATGGAAAGACTTTGTGAAACCCCTTTGTTCTCTTCCCCCACATGTAATCCTGGTTATGGGAAATGTTAATCAATTGTGTAATCCCCTAGTTAACATAACCCATCCCCTACTTAGCATAACCCATCCTCCTCATTAACATGTCCTGTCCCCAAGACTCTTAAATTGCATTTCGTGTATTCAATAAAGATTCCAGTTTTCACCCCCAAAATTGAGATCATGTAGTTTTGGACCTTTACATCCCAGCAAGGTTATGGAAGAGACAGATCATTCTGAGAGCCGTTGCGTGGCACATGCAGGACAACCAGGGAATCAAGCCCAGCCAACATGGATTTTCGGAAGGCAGACCCTGCTTGACCAACCTGATCTTCTATGACAAAGTGACCTGCTTCATAAATGAGGAGGAGGCTGTGGATGTTGTCTATCTAGACTCCAGTAAAATGTTTATGCCATCTCCCACAGCATCCTTCTAAAAAAACTGGCTGCTTGTGTTTTGGACGGATGGACTCTTTAATGGGTAAAAAACTGGCTGGATGGCAGGGCCCAGAGAGCGATGGTGAATGGAGCTAAATGCAGTTGGCAGCCAGTCCTAGCGGTGTTCCCCAGGACCCAGTTTTGGGGCTAGTCCTGTTTAACATCTTTAGTGAAGATCTGGACATGGGGATTGAGTGCACTCGCAGTAAATTTGCAGATGACACCAAGCTGGGTGGGAGTGTTTATCTGCTTGAGGATAGGAAGGCTCTACAGAGAGGCCTGGACAGACTCAATCCATGGGCTAAGGACAACTGCATGAGGTTCAATAAAGCAAAGTTGGCATTACAATTTTTCCTTTGAATTAATCTGTCCAAGATTTCAGAGGTTCCAGCTTCCCAGAGTCCCTGAGATCTGTACGACACTCAGGGCGTGATGGGGAGGGGAGGAAACAAGCTTCCACTTCGAAAATGAATTGGCCTTTGTCCCCAATGAAAGGATTTTCAGCTTTCCTTTCTAAAAACCCCAGAAATCATTAGCCTTATCCTTGGGAATGTGATCTAATAGGGTGACCTAGATGCAAGTGATTGCTGGAGCTCAGGGAGAGAGGGAGCTCAACTCCGGTTCTGTAGAAAAAGGCCGGGGGAGGAACAGGACGCTGCCTTGCATCCTGTTCTCAGATACACCTACTTTAAGCAAACCGTCCTGCTGAAGTTACCGTTGGTTTCTGCAAAGGCGCCTCAGGAGCCTCAGGACAACGGCCCAGGCAGATTAGGAATCCCACAAGTTTCGTGGAGAACAGAAGCAAGCTCTGCTCTCTGCCCCCGCTTTTCACACACACGCCCTTCCCCGTCTGCAGGCGCATCAAACGCTCCGGGGGGACAAGGGCAGAGCCCGCGCCAACCCCGCGGGGCCGGGAGGTGCGAGGCTCCCCGTGCCGCGGGCTCGCCCGTCCCGTCCGCCCCGCGCCCGCTCCCGCTCCCGCTCCCGGCCCCGCCGCCCACCGAGTGTCACTGTCGAGCAGCGCAGAGCCGCGCCCGCCGCCCCGGCTACCCCCCACCGCCGGAGCACCGCCACGGCTTGGGCCCTGCTCGTAAACTGAGACCTTCTGCTGATAGCTGATCCCCGACTGAGGCTTTAAAGTAAAAGGAAAAATCTTCTTGGTTATGCACGTGTCGTTAAACAAACTTGGGTCTCAAACGGGCATGCCACGAAGCGTAAGAGAACACGGAGGCAAGACCTGCTCTTTGTACGTTCCCTGCATCTTCTGTGACAGCATCTGGGAAAGGTAGACAGATGTTCCCCTCATAAATAAGATGACACTATTAAATTATTTGTATTGGGTGTACATGCTTAGAAAACAGCCTGCCAGGAGATGAGCATTTCTTGCTGGGAAATCGCTCATTCATCATCCAGATGTTCCTTATTTTTCAAAGTCCACTTGGGAACAGTGGAAATTTCGGCCTGAAACCATCCACATGTTTTTTCTGAGCTTGTGCAGAACTAAAACAATTCCCTGGTGAAAAAGAACAGGTCTGGGACCTGTCACCCCAGAGCTCCGTCACCTTGGCAGCGTTTGTGAGGGCAGAGCAGGCATTCCTCCCTTCAGCCGTAGGGCCAGTGCAGAATAAACCTCCCTGGCCTCTCCCACAGCCACCAGGCTTGTCAGTAACAGGACACAGAAGAGATAATCAGTAGCCTAATTTGCTGTAGCTACTATTTTAGAGCCTTGTAAAATGCAGACCACCTGGTGACTTTTATATAATAGATGATAAGTAATAACTTTATAAAGATGAAAGAACATATGGAGGCTTTATGGCAAATAATAAAGATTGTTTCTCTTTTTTATTTCATATTGACATGTTATTTGTATGTGCATATAGAGATTAAAAGACTGATGTTAGCAACAACAGCATTATATCTAGTAAGACAACTGTCCTTCAGAAATGTGCCAAGTTCTGTTTGTGAGTTGTCAGTAAGAGAATTTAAAAAAATCACCACCATGAGAACCACCATACAAATAAATATTAATCACAATATAGTATTAGAATAGAAGAGGAAAAAGGATCTTTTGCTTAGAGCTAACTTTACAGGCCAGGATTCAGGTTTGGATGTAACAGGTCAAAATCTCAGGAGCCTAGTTCTATGCACAGTAGAAAACATGAAATTTGTTTGAATTGGAAGGACACCATATGGATGTATCAGGATCTGGTCACTTGAATTTGTTTTCTTACATTCCTTTGAGAAATTTGCAGGTGTTAGAGTTGGGGTTCTCTTTTTCTTCCTGTTTAGCTGATTTTTTTTTTCTCCAGTTGCTGCAGATTGGACATAATTTCAGGCAAATACATTAATTATCAGATTACTTCCCTAACAGTACTTGTCTGTTTGGTTTTTAGTGACTGTATTTGAATAATTGGGTTGACTTTCTGTTGCTCCCAGTACATAGCCTGAAGTCTATTGTTCTACTTACTCCTTTCTTTTTCATTTAAAATCGAGTACAGACATGACCTGAAGATCCAGTTTTGTAAGATACTCGGAACCATGTTGGTGTGATCACTCTCTTGCAGACCACATAACAGAAAATGGATGGTGACTTGGAAGATAAAAACCTCTTGATTCTTTTTCTGGTCAAAGACTGAAGAATGAGATGGAGGTTTGGTATCTGCTTCATTTTCCTTGGGGTTTAGGAACATACATATTCTCCTATGGCATTTTATATTGTCTTACAGGATATAGTGTAATGAAAGAGTCTGTGGCCGAGCCTGGGATGTGTATATTAGTTAGGATTGATTTAGGTACAGTGATGGGATTTTCTGTCTTTATTCTGCTATGCTGATTAGCTCCATCAAATCTGTAGGGCCCCAGCAGCTTAGTCAACGGATTGAGGAGAAGCAAAGTGGTAAAATCTATAAGCGTGTTTTCCCATCTACCTGCTAGGGTAGTTTTCTGACAATGTATTCATGGTGTTTGATTCAATCTGACTTCAAGTGGTTCCATCAGTGGGTAATCCACAGCTCAGGTCCCCTTGACCAACTATGAAGCTTTCTCACAAGCGGATTCTCTTAAAATGCAAAACACCAGAATCAATTTTAAAACCAGCTGCTATTTCAGTATAGACAAGACCCTGGGGACCATGTATTTTGTTATTGCTCTGCTCTAAGGAGGTCTCTCTGCTTTTGTGGTTAGAAGAGAGATTGCAAATCCTGAAGCACCACGTGATAATTCTGTTTTTCTTTTGGATAGGTTAGATGTGGATGGAAATATTTCGGCTAACTTTCCCAGTGAAAATACTTGTAAGCACAATGAACCCTGACAGGGGCAGCAAACGCTGATGCAGCTGAAGCATGTTGAGTTGTAAACATTAGGAGAAAAAATGGAATAAGAATTTGGATGTTAACTTATATATACAATGTGTTTAATTTGTTTCTAATCAAAACAAAACTCCTCTTTGACAGAATGGATTGTGAAATAAAGCTTATTGCCCTGCAAGTGACTTAAGTCATGCAGCCAGCTTGCAGGGACACTCAGAGACAGTTGGCAAGATAAGATGCTTCAGGAGAGATGCAGAATTCAATGTACAGTTTCCATGAGGGAAAGCAGAATGGCAGCAGCTCAGGGAATGAACAGGCCATATAAGGGAAGTAAATGAACTGCTGTGGAGATGCCATTAGCAAAGCAAACACTGACTTGGGGACCTTGGCATATACCATGGAAGAGATAAATCGCATGAATAAATGCATGCTTGTTTGCTTCTCTGTAGGTTTGCAAAGCCAATTTTACTGAGAAACAGTTTCCATGTGTGAAACAGAAGGTTTTCCACAGTCATTTTAATGCCAAGCAATTTCTACCGATGTCTGATCCCCTCCAACACACGCCTAATTTAGGCATATTCATCACAGTTCCTTTATAACCCAGGCCTTTGGCTAGGGAAAGGACAGACCGGGTCTTTAAACAATTGTGGATTTAATAACAGTACTCAATTCTTCTCTTTCTTTACACCAAAAGCACAATTCAAATGACACAATATTAGCTTAGTATCCCTGTCATTTCAGGTGTTGATAAAATGAATAGCAGGAGGTAAAACACCTGATTGAATCAAGTGAAGGCATGAGAGTAGTAAATGTCTACAGTCATCAAGAAGTGCATAGCTCCTTGCAGAAGAGGAGACCTGAGAGCTAGTGCACACTTAGGGGTGGAGGCTTAGCACCAGACAGGTGATTTAAGGGGAGGATGCTAGAATGGTATGCTGTGGAGCAGGCTCCAGCTCTCAGACTTGAGAAAGTCACACCAGCTCCCTTTCTGTCAGACACCCCCTGGGCACATCCACATTCATGTTTTGGTGTGGATCAAGGGCATGCTTTTGAAGTGAATCTCCAGAGCATCCTCACCACTCTTTTTTTTACCCAACAGTGATGAGTACACAAAGCGGATTCAGATGGCACTACAGCAGCAGACATGTGCCAGGAGTGCATCAGATGAGTTGTGAGCACTCATGAGGCTCTCAGTCCATAGGTGCAGGCTGGAGGGAACCTGAAGAAAAAACTATGGAAAAGCATAAACATTTAGGTCCTCAACACTATCTGATCAGATCAGATTGACCCACATTACTTGCCAATATAAATGTATACTAGGTAAATATAGCCTAGAGGTGTCAGCTGTGGGTATGGCTGGTTTGAGATTATGCCTTTATTGTCTTCCTTGTGAAGCACTTTACTGCATATATTCTAGCACTCAGCCTATATTTAACCCACTTCTTGGATTTGAAGCCCATGTCCTTAAAGGATATACTTGAAATTAGGATGAAGAGTCAATCATGCTACATACTTTCCAATCAATTTCTTATCCCTTGAGAAATCATGCATTTTCAGTAGTGTTCTGGTTTTAAGAGTTTACACTACGGGGAAAAAAATAGGAGTCTTATTTTAGAAATCCAATAAAGTAGCTTTGTAATTAAATTCTGAACGTGGCTGTTGTTACTATTAGATGGTGTAAATATGGACTGAGTACAATAAACCTCACTTTCATTTAGCATTAATAATATTAATGAATGGTATTTAAATCACACACTATGTTCCAGGACTGTAAAAGAAACATTAACAAAGAGATTTTGCATGTCTGGTGCTGACATAATTTAAACCTGGCATAAAAATGTCTTATATCTGAAGAATTTATTCAAGTTTCTGGGCGTAGAGGAAAAACCAGAATAGGATATATCTCTTTTCCCCAGAGGCAACTCCTCCGCAAAACTTTCCCACTTAAGACACTCTGGGAAAGGGCTGGAGCTCCTGTCTCTTCGCTTGACCTAACGCAGCCGGGATGAGCTGGTAGGTACTGTGGTCACATTTACTCTCGCTGTAGACCAACTCCCGAACTGTTGCGATGAAAATGCTGGATCAGCAGCTCGCATGCAGAGACAGACACACAGTTCTTATCACACGCACACCATCAGGATATTAGCCCATATTTTCCCATGTAAGGACTGAAGCCTTACCCCTTTCTTTCTAACACTCCTTCTTCGCCGGCTTTTTCCTCCTCTCCTCTCTTGCCCTTTCCTCCCCTCCGTCCCCGACTCCATCGCCCCGCGCACCCCGCACTCAGACGCCGAACGCGGCAGGCGGTGTGGAGCCCCCGGCCGGCCTCGGGAACCCGGGACCCACCGCTCCGGCCCCCGGGAGCTGAAACCGTTTCGCCCCACTCCCGGACGGGCTGCGGAAGCTGGGACCCACCCCCGCTCCGACCCCGCGGAGCCGGGACCACCGCCCCGCCCCGTAAGGGCTCGGGGCGGTGCCCCCCTCCTCCCGTTCGCCGCTCGGCCCCTCGCCCCCGGCCCCGTCCGCGGCCCCGCAACTGCGCCGACGGCGGCGGGTCCCGCCCGGGGAGGCGGCGGCGGGGGAAGGGGGAGGAGAGGCGGCGGAGTGCGTTGCCTTCCGAG